GGTTTTAAGATTTGTGTTTCATTCTGTGGTCGTAATACCATTGGACAATTATTGATTTTAAATATAGTTTTATTTTGCTAGAATATCTTTCAAATGGGTAAAATAAAATAAAAATCTGAAAATATTAACAAAATCACAAAAACAACTTATGCTTGTTTTATAACCAGACCTAATTAACATTAAATCACGTTGTCTTAAGCTGTTCCATAAGGAAGAAAGATCTATAGAGAGTATTTCCATAGAATTAGTTAGGTAACAGGGAATTTTATAAAAGGTGTAAAAGTTACTAGCTTACTTTGCAGTAATTTTTCCTTTGGACTGTTTTTAGAAACCTCCATGCACACAGGTGCATGTAGTTGAAGATACAAAATTAATTGTTGTTCAATTTTCCAACAGGCCCTACATATGTTTTTACCACACTATGATGTTTTTGGCTGTATTACATACGTTAATTGGTGGCTAAAAGTTACGTTTTGCTGGCCATGCCAGCTGTCATCGTAATTTGGGGACCGAGCAGGTTTTTACAGGCCGGGGCGCAAAATCAGCTGTCCGCTTACTTACTTAAAACATGAATGCATTTTAAATACACAATCAAAATCCATAGCATTGCAATAGAATTGTGTTATTGTCACCGTTGCCTAGCAACTATTTATTTTTACTTTTGCAGATTCCTCAAATTATTTTTTAACTTAACCTTAAAGTTCTAGTTGTGTTGACTATCAGTGTGCATTATTATAGTGGTGAATAGTGGTAATACGGTATAGTGTGGTGAAAAATAGCGTTCGTACCACGGACCGAAATGGTTTTGCAGCTCTCGATTGATTTAAGTTCTCGACTTCGTCTCAAACTTAAAAACTATCCTGAGCCGGCAAAACCTAATTTTCGGTCCTAGGTACGAAATATACTATTTAGTTCACACTTTATTTCCCTTATTGTTATGATTCATTTTGATAATATCAAGCTTTGTGACACCATCAAACTCAATTATGTTGTTCTGAATTTATATTCATTATTTCAAATGTGTGGTAAATTTTGTTCGTGTCATTGTACATAATAATTACAAATTGTTTAGAAAAAAGACTGCAATATGATAGATTTTGATTGTACTTTTGAAAGGAGCACCAGGCTTACGTGTGCAGTCGGTGGGTCTTCTTAATAGGAAATACATTTATATTTAAATACACTAATGACATTTTTCTGTGTGTATCTAATTGGTGAGAAGACTGTCCCACTGTACAGTCAAACCTGTTCTTCCCATCGAGAACAAAATCAACCGAGCCCTTTAAACGAAGAATTACAGTTATGTGAGTTAGGTTTAATTGCTCAGTGCACATTCTTTACTTCATTAAAGGTTTTAGCGTCAGTGTATAGAAGATAAACACAATTTGAGTTTTTATTCAAATGTACACTTTATATTCCTAGCCAAATGTTGCCAAACAATTAACTAATTAATACTAGTGAACTTGTAGATCAAATAAATTGTTGGTAAACTTTTGGGGTAGCAGAATTTAATACCCCTGGAATTTTACCCTCTGAGCAAAACTGACGCCACTAACCAGGGGGTATAATTCCGGTTGCGAACTTTTGAGTTGCACAACATCAGTTCAATATATTAAAGGTGGAAGGTATATTTTCACGTTTGTGAATTTAAGCAGAACACATCAAATTATAAAACCGGGACTGTGCGGGCTGGATTTTTACGCCCTTCATGAGGTCAGCTCAAAGTGTATTGCCCGGATTTTTACCCCCAGAATTTTACCACCTGGCCAGATATAGAAATCAGTGAAAATAATTAATTTTCTTATTTCAGTTTTAATTTAATGGTAAACATTTTATTATTAAGTAGGTAGCCTATCTTTGTAACCTCAACTAATGAAAGAGGTTTTGCATTTTAATTTAGAGATTCGAGCTTCAGGATTTGACTTTTGGGGCCAACTGTTGGTCAATATGTATCCAAACAAACTGAGTAGTCTATATGAATAATAATTGTTTCGAACATTTGTTTAACGACCGTGGAAAAACAATTTTCCTCGTTTGTGTTTTAACAATAACAAAATATGCCTCATTATTTCTTCAGGCACAAACCATGAGCTATTGATAGTTAGTACCGTACTAAAAAGGTCATCGAAAGACCTGTTGTAGTTGTAGGCATCCGGTACAAAGTATTGATACATAGTATGAAGAAATAAAAAGACAAAAAGACATTGTGCTATAGTACAACAGAAACAAAATAAATTGTTTTTCTACGGCCATATAATAAATCGTTTAAGAAATGTTTACCCAATTATCATTCAAATGGGCTACTCAGTTTGTTTACATACATATTAACTCTAACGGTTTGCCCAAAAAGTCGAATCCCGAAACTCAAATATCAGAATCAAACAGCGAAACATGTTTACTTAGTTGAGGTTACAAATAAATTGAGATAGGCTATTTAATAATAAAATGTTCATTATCAATCAAAACTAAAAATAAAATAAAATATTTAGTTAACTAATTTCTATATTTGCACAGGGGGTAAAATTCTGGTGGGTAAAATTCCGGGCCGTACATCTTCAGTTGCCTAAATGCTAGTTATATGGACAGGGGGTAAAATTCTGGTTTTTGTTGCTACCGGTAATCTAATTTATGACACTCTGTCTATTTTCATTAGACTCCCAAATCTGCGTGGATAAAATTCCGCCCATGAACAAACTTTAGAGAGCTCAGGTTCATACCTACTGACGTCTGCTTTGACCAGGGCGTAAAATTCCAGGGGGATAAAATTCCAGCGACCCGAACTTTCTTCATAGGTCATATCTCTATCTATCCAACTATCTTAATCTATCTATATAATATTATAAAATTGAGGTGGTGTCTGTCTGTCCGGCTGCCACGACTAAAATACTAAACCATTACAGCCCAAATTAAGCACAAAGATTGTCCACATACCTAGGAATGTCATAGGACTATTCACTTCCCTGAGTTCCTCTCGGGCTCCGTCCCTTGGATGTCCAAAGTTTTGAGGTGAGGTTCTCAAAAGTAAATATTAATTGTAATTGGTCTCCATGGAAGCACGAGAAAATTCACAATATTTGTTTATCCTTTCTTTGACACTTCAATGTAAACAGTTAGAACTGCTGAATGCTTATTTCAGAATTTCAGATAGCTCATCCAAACAAATAAAATATAGTTATTTGTGTAACTAGTGGTGAAAGTGGCACTTTGCTGCACACGAGAGCAATGTTTACGCACTCGCCTGCGGCTCGTGCGGAATGATCTTGAGTGCAGCAAAGGCCTTTTTCACTCGTGTTACACATTATATTTTTCCTACAGTCACTATAAAGCATATAAATAATTAGTCTTTCTAACACTAACACGTTTTTAGGTTCAGCTGGCAACACAAATGGTGCCCTAGAGAAAGTAGTACCCGCGGTCCGTATCACTCCGCTATTTTTCCTCGGCAAGAAATGTGCTCCACGTTTTGAGAATATAGTTCCGTATGCTTTTGTAATTTGAAGTAGTTTCCGCGCCTAAAAAAATGCTTTAAAGGTATTTTCTTGTTTATTTAGATCGTAGGAATGTTTTAAAAACGTTTAAGGGAAAAGTCCAGAAAGTTCAGAAATACCGTAACTATAAACACGAAATGACAGGTTAAATCGTAGTTATAATAGTCAATCAGCTGCTCATAGTATTATTATCTTTAAGTGTTGCCAACCTATTTCCAAGCGTACACGGATTACGTGCTTAATAGAACCACGCTGTTTTGTGTTGTTTCGTTGGAATCCTGATGTGCGGCAAAGTATAAACCGTACGACAAAGTATAAACCGTACGGCAAAGTATAAATATGCAGCAATTAGCAGCTTTCTGTACTATAAACAGTACAAGGAAGCCAACTTTGTAGGGTGACTGTAGGAAAAAATATTTTACATAACTATGTGGTAGGTTTATTGATATCATTGATTTTGGAAATAAAGAATGATTGTATAACCGTAAGTTAAGAAAATTATGTTATTGATATATTTTAATGTAAAAGAGTAGGACATTTACTATGTAAGTCATACTTTTTTTTGTAAAAAATTGGTGGCTTTTTCTTTATAATTCAATCTACTTAACAAGTGTTTGGATTAGGCGGAATAGTACATCTTTCCGTTGAGAAGCTCAAATATGTGACCCTTACATTGTAAAATTCCAATCTTAGAAAAAATCTAATGGATGTTTCTTCATTTTTATAGCCTGAAATGGTTTGCAATAGTTATTTGTGTAACTAGTGGGCGAAGTGGTACTTTGGTGCACATGAGAGACATGTTTACGCACAATCCGTAGGCAAGTGTGGAAAGTTTCTCCAGAGTAGCAAAGGCAGTTTGCACCTGTGTTACACATTATACTTTTCAAATAATTAGTCTCTAAAATATGTACAACACGTTTTATGTTAAGTTAAATCCAAACATTGAACAAATTGGGAAACACTGCACTATCTGATCATAGTCGTAATCACAGAAAACATACTACTATAACCCAGAATGCCAACCGTATGGTAAAAAGCATTAAGTGTTTTGAGAGAACTTTGCCTGCCAATTGGAAGGCAGCGCCACCAGCGTTGCTATGCTGAGTGCATGGCAACGCTGGTGGCGCTGCCTATGAATTGACAGGCAAAGCTCTCTCAAAACGCTTAATGCTTTTTACCATGCGGTTGGCATTCTGCGTTATAATAGTATGTTTTCTGTGTCGTAATACAGTATCTTTAAGTGATGCCAACTTATTTTCAAGCTTACACTCACCTGCCTATAAACACACCAGTGTGTGTTGTTTGGTTGGAATACTGGAGTGTGGTAGAAAAAGTGCAGCAAAAGTAAAAAGAGTGCGGCAAAAGTAAGTAAATGCAGCAATTATGAACTTTCTGTGCTATAATCACTGCAAGGAAAGCCACTTTGTCAGATGACTGTATGAAAACAAATTATTCAAGAGTTTTAAAATAAAAGTCTTGTTATGGATAATTTGAATGGGATTATGGTTTCAGAACCAATTGAAGAAGATTCAAACCCTGCAATGCAGCCTGAACCGGTTTCTACAGTAGAAATATCATCCACTGAGGTAGTGGAGGAAGTGGACAGTAGCAGCATTAGCCTAGGAGAGATAAAAGAAGAAATTCCCGAGGAAAAGGAAGAAAATAACGTGGAAATGGAAGAGCCAGATATGTCCGGTAATTTAATCTAGTTTGCTTGGAATTAAATAGAGGTAATTTTTTAATAAAAACGTCATTCTCAAATTAAATTGACAAAAAATTACTTCAGTTTGTTGGAATAGGTTATTGGTAAAATTTATCAGAGCATTAGATGAGCAAGTTTAAATGGATTTATATTTGGCACTAGAGTGGGACATGATTTTGTATACCTTTAGGAGTTCAATGTTTACAAAATTTATATTTTTATCTTTTGCTGTCCTTACATTTGCGCTTGCAAAGGAAGATAAACATTAGCTCATACATATATCCTATATATTATTATATATGATATATAATAATATATCCTATAATATAATTATATTATATAATAATATATTCTATAATATAATTATATTATATTATACAGGGTGTCCATAAAAAACGTTTCAGGACTTTGGGAAATGGATCCCGATACTAAAAGGAAGAAAAAAGTTTATGGGAAGGTATGTCCGAAAATGTATATTTACCCAGATATCCGCCATTTTGTTTTTTATACAAAAATATTTTTATCTGTGAAGTTTTTTATTCGATGATTATGAAATTTGGTAAACATGTTACCATACACAAGACCTATTATAGAAAAAATAATAAATTTGTTCCGATTGTAAATTTCAAAATGGCGGCCATTTGAATTTTTCTAACTCAAATAACTCAAAAACGGCTAATTCTATGAAAAAATTTCAAAAATACTTTTTTTTAGCATTTTTAATTGCCTATCAAACAATACCAAAATCAAAAAGATCGGACAAAAGATAACTGAAATATTACGTTTTTTCTGTAAAAATAAGGCAAAGTTAGTCGGGGAACCCTTAATTTTTGCCTTATTTTTACAGAAAAAACGTAATATTTCAGTTATCTTTTGTCCGATCTTTTTGATCTTGGTATTGATTGATAGGCAATTAAAAATGCTAAAAAAAAGTTTTCTTGACATTTTTTCATAGAATTAGCCGTTTTTGAGTTATTTAAGTTAGAAAAATTCAAATGGCCACCATTTTGAAATTTACAATCGGAACAAATTTATTATTTTTTCTATTATAGGTTTTGTGTATGTTAATATGTTTACCAAATTTCATAATCATCGAATAAAAAACTTCACAGATAAAAATATTTTTGTATAAAAAACAAAATGGCGGATATCTGGGTAAATATACATTTTCGGACATACCTTCCCATAAACTTTTTTCTTCCTTTTAGTATGGGGATCCATTTCCCAAAGTCCTGAAACGTTTTTTATGGACACCCTGTATAATAATATATCCTATATATTATTATATTATATATATATTATATATATATTATATAATATAATAATATATAATAATATATCCTATAATATAATTATTATATCCTATATATTATTATAAAGATAAAAGTATTATTATAAAGATAAACCTTTTTTATATTGACTTAAGTGGTCCAATGCTGGCCATAAAATAATAATAATAATAAAGATAAAAGTACAGTAATAACATTTTTTTTATCAAGCCAAAAATGACATAAGTTTTAAATACATTTTCAATTAAAAATAGGCTATAAAATTCATTTATTTCAGCCAAATGGATTGAAATTACCTGAAAGTGGATTGATATTTATTTATATTATCTATCTAAAACAAGACAAGTGAAACTATAGGAATATTATATTTATATAATTATACATAAAAATTTACCATTGAAATACAAATACTCAAGGACACTGCACAAAAGATAGGCTACTGCATAGGTGGTGTGCTATTCAATGCATAACATTTTCATTTATATAATGTTCCAAGGTACCCACCATCCTAAAAGTTAACACTGCAAATTGAATCAACTTGGCTATATTTTATCAATTTTTATTCAGGCCTACGTTATAAAACCTCTACCACATAATTTAAACAATAAATAATATAAAATTGTTTCTGTAATAAGTTGTGTTTAAAATATAAACTATCTCATCATCGAACATCTAATGACTAAATAAAGTATTTAATATTATTTATCTATTACATCCCCTGATTATAATGTCGGGTTTATAATCAAATGTGATTGATTCCACCATTGACTATAAATACATATAATGAATCAATTATAATCAATAATTCTACTTTTGCCCCGTCACCCTATTCTGTCCACTGTATTCACTCAAATGTCAAAATTTCCAAGGACAAAGAAACACAATTTTTGTTTGTTATACTTAACTAACTTTTTTGGTTGGCCTTAAAAGAAACTCTGTTATCTGCTGTTTAACCTTAATTAATTGTTGCTTATTGTTTCTTGTTAGATTAAAGATTGTGCTTCAATTCTGCCATTCTGAAATTCTCTCTTTGAAAATCTTGTTCACTCACGCACCCCTAATTTTATACAGAGTACTCATTTAAATTCTCTAAATACAACGTCTTACATTTAGCCACTTATCCATCCCAATTTTTACTTGTTTGCGCAAACTTTAACCATATTTTATGTGTTTCAGGTATACATATGCAAGAGGTGGAAGTAGAGATGACAACAGATGGAGACAAACCCTCTGTGGAAGTAGCTAGAACTGAGAATGAGGTTGGTTGATTATTTATTAGGGCTCTGTTGGGAAAATCATTTTTACTTCAGGTTGGGTAAAAAATTCTTGCTTTGGAAAGAATTGATATAAAAACTATAAGTTTTTGAACTACAATATACATATAAAGTATAAAGTAATTTAAAATTGTCTCTTGAGATTGCACATGGAGTCATGAAAGTCTCGTAAGGTTGCAGCAAAAGCAATAGCGTCCTCTGTGGTTACAGTAAAATCTAGAAAATTTGATCATACAATCTTAGCAGACACATAAGAGTCTTCATCACCCTCGGTGTAGTTGCGTTTTGGGGATATGACCTTGGGGGGAAGGTGTTGAGGACAGACGGGTTGCGTGGGGTCATTATGCGCGCCATTCTGAAAACATCGTAAACACACGACTTTGAAAATGAAAAAAAAATAATTAGTTTAACAGTGTTTAAAAGTGATCCAATTTATGTTACTTTAAGATTTTTCTGTACTTATACTATATATTTTCTTGGATATTATCATGTATGAAAACCAACATTAATCTGGAAGGGAATAAAGTTTCAACATTATATACTTACATCCCATCCGGAGCGAGGGACATCCAATGCATGTTTTTATTGTTTTCATAGAGGTGAACAAGATCCTTGATCTAAATTTATCACTTTGATACAGAAAATTCAAAACAATCGAATGAAATATTCTGTTAATCCAATCCATTTATTTATGGTGATACCATTGAAACTAAAAACTAAGCTTTCTTTCTACTTCTTTTTTTACATGGACATCGCAAAGGAAAGGAGTAATTTATATGTATATGTAATTCATATCCTGTTGCAAAAAAGGGGTGGGAAAACTAACTTAATACAAATATACTAATTATAATTTAGTCCTTATTCTGTGTGGAACAATTTTTTACCAACAAATGGAATATTCTTTTTTACAGTTCATTGTTATAAAGTAGCGATTAAAAATTTGGTATTACAAGGTGGATTGGCTAAGCTTTTGTCACTCTGGATTATTTCTTGGTTATTAAGTGGTGTTTGCAAATTTCACCACAATATGGTGAGCAGTGTATTTTGGCTTTTAATTAATTAAACTAAAATAAAATGTATTAAAAATAGGAATCTCGCAAGCATTTGATAAAACCCAGAACAATTATTCCTGCAGAGGTAAGTTTATTCATAAAAAACTGTATTCATTATCTGTAAACTTTCATTAAGTGGCAACAGTTTTGTAAAGTTTAAAAAAATTACATTTTTCTTTGTTTGACCAGGAGCAGGATGGAGAGCAGGAGCAGAAGTCATTGACCAACCTACAAGACGCTGACACCATGGAGGAGCAGCAGTCCATCACGGAGCTGGACAGTCAGACAGTCGACATGATTGTAGGGGTCAGTATTGTACAGTTCTACAACCTTGAATGTTTCTTTGTTTGACCAGGAGCAGGATGGAGATCAGGAGCAGAAGTCATTGACCAACCTACAAGACGCTGACACCATGGAGGAGCAGCAGTCCATCACGGAGCTGGACAGTCAGACAGTCGACATGATTGTAGGGGTCAGTATTGTACAGTTCTACAACCTTGAATGTTTCTGTGTTTGGCCAGGAGCAGGATGGAGAGCAGGAGCAGAAGTCATTGACCAACCTACAAGACGCTGACACCATGGAGGAGCAGCAGTCCATCACGGAGCTGGACAGTCAGACAGTCGACATGATTGTAGGGGTCAGTATTGTACAGTTCTACAACCTTGAATGTTTCTGTGTTTGGCCAGGAGCAGGATGGAGATCAGGAGCAGTCGTAATTCACTAACCATCAAGACCCAGGAGGAGCAAAAGTCCATTACTGAACTGGGTGATCAGACAGTCCACAAGATACAGTAGACTCTCGTTCACCCGAATCAGCCTTGTCCGGACTTCCGCTAGTCCGGATCGGCAATCGTGATTTTTTTTGCGGTAGAAGTCCGATTATCCGAGCTAATTTCATCGCCCCCACCCAGCATCAACACCGCAGCGTTATCTCTGGGGCGATACAGTAATTTTTTGTCATCATTTATGAATGTGCACTCCTATATACAGTACTGAATTTGCCTCAGTTTATTCGGCGGCTTGGATAATCAGACCACGGATAATCACATTTTGCGACCTCAGGTGTTCTTTGCAATATCTGTAGCAATAATCACACAATACAGTAGCCGACTGTAATTTATTACGTTGTGTTTTAACTTGTTTTAGACGCTCCCGTTTGTATCAACGTGTGTCTTGACAAAACTGCTTGCCGTAACGACAAAATGTACCAATATTTGCTCGACTCTCTATAGTCCGAATTTTAGTAATCGGGTCCGGACGTCCGCAACATTAGTCCGAATGAGCGAGAGTCTACTGTAGTAGTTGTTGGTGGGGTCAGTATTGTAGATTTCTATAACATTCAATGTTTCTTTGTTTGACCAGGAGGAGTCGTCATTGAACAACCTACAAGACTCTGACACTATGGGGGAGCAACAGTCCATTACTGACATGGACAGTCAGACAGTCAACATGATTGTAGGGGTCAGTATTGTAGAGTTCTAAACCATTCAATGTTTCTGTGGTTGACCAGGAGCAGTTGTCAATGACCAACCTACACAACTCTGTCACTATGGGGGAGCAACAGTCCATTACTGACATGGACAGTCAGACAGTCAACATGATTGTAGGGGTCAGTATTGTAGAGTTCTAAACCATTCAATGTTTCTGTGGTTGACCAGGAGCAGTCGTCATTGAACAAACTACGAGACTCTGACACTATGGGGGAGCAACAATCCATTACTGATCTGGACAGTCAGACAGTCGACATGATTGTAGGGGTCAGTATTGTAGAGTTTTAAACCATTCAATGTTTCTGTGGTTGACCAGGAGCAGTCGTCATTGAACAAACTACGAGACTCTGACACTATGGGGGAGCAACAATCCATTACTGATCTGGACAGTCAGACAGTCGACATGATTGTAGGGGTCAGTATTGTAGAGTTCTATAACATTCAATGTTTCTGTGTTTGACTAGGAGCAGGACGGACAGGACGGACAGGACGGAGAGCAGGAACAGTCGTCATTGACCAACTTACAAGACTCTGACACCATGGAGGAGCAACAGTCCATCACTGAACTGGACAGTCAGACAGTCAACATGATCGTGGCTGGTGGTGGGGTCAGTATTGTTTGCCTTGGCACATGTTTAAAAATACTCCTATATTGGTTTATCTTCCTTAATGATAAGCTAAAGCAATCTTTAATCTAACAATTAATTAATTTAATTTAAGCAATCTTGAATGAAACAATTTTCAAAGTTAGTTTTATCCGGTTGATGTAGATTGAGTGGTTTTGCTTACCACTAGTGTATAGCTCGTGACATCTAAGCTGTCACTTGGTCGATTGGTACCTATGTCAAAAACATTATGTCCGATCATGCGGGTTGCATCAACTGTCCTAGCGAGCCATATAAAGGCGCTCAAATACAAAATACAAGGGGAGTCAACCCTGTGAGGCAGCGGAAATGTTTGCAGTCCAACACTGCCCGCGCTAAGCCAAGTGCCAGCTTAGGTGTCACGAACTGTACATGTTGCTCGATTTCGATCAATTGCAAAGTATTACAGGAGTTATTTGAAAACGAATAACATTGATAATTTCCGATAAGCTTAGAACTAAGGTAGCTACGATAAGGCAGAGCCCAAGTGACTTTTTCAAAAATTTAAGGCCAGTTTGAAAATTTACGCGACACCCTCTTTCCAATGAGAATGGTCAAAATCGGTTAAGAAATGACAGAGGAGTTCAAAGGAGAATTTTCGTGTTGGCATATTAATTACAGTGGAACCTCGATAAGAAGACCCTCAATAACAAGTCACCCTTGATAACAAGTGTAATTTTTAAATTCCCTTGATTTTATTTTATCCATAATCACATGTTATTGCAAACCTCAATAAGAAGTCAACCTTGATAAAAAGTCTTCATTAATAATCCCCACGAGAGTCTTGTTATCAAAGTTCTAGTGTATATAGATAATTATTCTATAATTCAACTAATTTAAAAACTATTTTATTTCAACCAAATTGGCCTAAAACAATCTAAATATATAGGTACAATTTGAATTTATATAATCAGTAGCTGTTCTTTACAACCGAACTGAAAGCACAAATCGTAAAATCTGCCCTATAACCAGTGAAAAATCTTTTCATCAACACAAGCGCTCAAAGTGAAAGTATAACCTTAACACACATAAAAACTTTTAGATTTTACAATAGGATTATAAGTCTGTGTACAGGCTGTGATTTGTTTGTTTGTTTATGGACAATAATGTTCCCATTTTCTAGTGTGTGTGTCATACACAATTGGCCATCAAAAATATCCAAAGTCTGAATGAAACTTAATCAAAGTGAGAGCCTAATGTTATGTCTTTTAGACATATTACCAGGTCTACAGAGCGTGTCTTCAAAACGCTTATGTTATAAAGAAAAAGAAGTTAAAACTTGTACTAGTAAATGGAATATTATTTATCAGTGGAGAAATAAACACTATCACCTAGTGTGCACAGAACAAAAACAACACATTGAACAATCATGGTGTTTGAACAAAAACGATGCCATTTATTTTTGTAATTTAATGTAATTGAAGTAAATGTGATGTTTTAGGTAATATCTGTGAGTCATGACACTTCTGGTGAACACTTAGAAGAGGTTACATCTTCAGACATACAAAACAAAGACGATTCCGAGGCTGCTGTAAGTTTTAGAACCACATTTTCTAGCTTGCAAGGAAAAGACCATAAATGTAAGGCGGATAATTATAGGAGGGGTTTGCATTGCAGAGTGGGCTTACAGAAAGGGGACTTAAGATTCAAAGGATGGGCTCAATTAATTTAACCGTACAAGAGAGGGAAGCTACAATTTGTATTTATATAGACATAGGTCTTGCTACTTAATGTATGAAATGTAGGGGTCTGCGGTACAGAAAATTTAAGGTCGGTACGGTTCGGTACGGTACAATATTTTGTACCTCGGTTCTCGGTACAAAATCGGTACGGTACGCGGCTACCCGTATTTTTGCGGTTTTCTGCTCAGAACTGTATTTAAACCATTATTTTTAACTTTAATACATTGACATTACTATGAAAATTGATAGTATCCTACTTTCCTGGTATTCTAACAACAATTACTGTACCACACATTATTAAAACAAAACCTTTTACTACTACGAGGATTGTGTCAAGAAAAATCACAGTTAAGATAAAGGCTTTACCTATTTTACTCTGAGATACTTTGAATAGCCATGATAAAAGTGGTTTTAAAAATAGGGTAAGAGTTTTTAGGAATATACATGTTTGAAAATTTATTGGCAAGATAATTTCACACAACTGGTAAATTATTTCCAACCAACACAATGTCTTAGTTGTTTTTTAGATTTGTAAAAACATATAAAAGCATTCAGTACAAAGACAGTGCAGTTGCCAGCTGTTCACAGCAGACAACAATGAACAACTGGAGAATATGATGAAGTAATGGCAATGAGCATCTTTTTTTATCAGCTCCAAAACTAGTAATAAGATTAGAGGTGTGCGGATATCCGAAAAATCGGGTCGGATTCGATTCGGTTCGGATACGGATATCCGACTTTTTCGGATAGACAATATATTTTGACGTTTTGGACAGAAAACTAAATCTCCATAGCCACCATTAGGTTCCCAGGATAAAATTACAGCAATACGTTTCCAACGACCTAACAGCAAACGGCAAAGAAGCCGTATGATGCAATACTGATAACTAGTTTAGTCGTTATCGGCGGTTTTGCTTTACGATTAGATTCGTCTGGAACGAACAGACATAAAGCAGAAAAGAACTACCGGTACCATGGTCAAATGAAAGTCAACTCGTGCTTGTCTCGCTCCTGATACTAGGGGCGCTGCGTAATAGTTTTTTTTTACAGTACTGTTTCACAGTAGAAAAATCTAGCCTACTACTGTGATGTTACGTAAACAATAGATTTAATGTTTCCCGAAAAAAGTCAGAATAGAAAGGCAACACAATAGAAGGGTGGGAGGGGTTTGGCAATGACCTCGAAAGGAGCGCGGGTAGTGAGTCAAGTAGGACCGGAGGGGGAAGGGGTGGGTAAGACCTTGAAGCTATATATAGACTTGCACTACTTCCCTAAACCTAAAGGACTGGCCGGCGAGTGGTATTCCAATCACAGGACAAGATACGTTGTTTTTTGGGTATTCATTGCCCGGTTTGACTTTGGATTGTCTTACTGTGTAAAAACTTTGAATAATAAAAGATAAAGTTAGAACTAACCACGATTATTTAGCATTGATTGTGTACATATTAAATGATTAAACTATAGGGACCATGGATATATACAAACTTTTGTCAACATCAAAATACAATATTGCACAATCGTGATATTTTAGGTCATTGACCTTTATTATGCATCCGGTATTGCTGTTTCAGAAGAGAAGCACGTTGATAAATTATAAATTGATATTCCCGTAGTTAAAAAGAATTATTTTATAAACCTATAAAACAAAATCATAAAATCTTACATAAAGATAACAATAACGGAAATTGTAAAAAGGGTATAAAGATAACAACGTCATTCTTTCTCTTTGTTCTTCTATTCTTGGGTTTCCCTTCACACGCATTCAACAAGTTGCCATGGTTACTAATCACCCATGTCGTTATCAGCTTTTGGGGATAAAACTTGACGAAAATCGGTTAATTTTTACCTATTATTTAATTACCAATGAATGTACTACTTTATTGGTATTTGGTACTGTATTAATAATCGGTCAAAAGGGCCGATTTTTGTCAAATTTTACACCAAATTTATTGAAATTTCAAGGTGAATATTAATAAAACAATTATTACCAAATATTTGTATTCATTTAAAAGATTGATTTGTGGTATTGGGTTCCCCACTGAGTGCAGCCGAGCGGCACTAATGAGGGTCGGACCTTCTTGGGCATGAACAATAGACGGCTTATCAGACCCTCCCCTCCCCGTGGTCAGGAGAAAGCTTGTAAACAAACTATTGCACAAGCGTGACTTGACATTGGGCTGCTTCAACTATAATTTTGCCAAATAAACTGTGATGTTTCAAAATCAAAAACAATAATTTAGGACCATACTGCTTAACAATAATGGACTGCAATTATTGTTAAACATACAATCCATTTTTAACAAACTAAGATTATACGATTCAAATACAATTATAAAAATTATCTTGGTATTTTACTTGGGGTAATGAAGTTATGTAGGCTAGTGTAATTCTCGGTTCATCAAGGTTCTACTGAATTATGTTTGGCAGTGAATAAGTGTAGAATGCAATTTATAAATTCAGGGATACACACCTTTTACACAGTTATAAAGTCTAATTTAACCGCCCAACATCAAATCGTGAGCTAGAGCCCATCTTAGTGCATTAGTGATGTTTTCTAAACTTGGCAAACCCGCAAAATGCCACTTAAGGCCAATAATCCGTTCCAAAAACGTAAGGAAATACAATGTGAAAATAAGGGACCGCGCCGAACTTGGACAACGACACACGCGGACAACGTTAAGGTTGGACAGATTAAGTTTCCAGGATTGTCGTTTGCGTGCAACGTTAAACTTGGACACATTTGAATGTGTCCAGATTCGTCGTGTCGAGCAACGCCACCCCTGGACAACTTATAATCGCGTCCAGGTTCGTCGTTTGCGTGCAACGTTAAACTTGGAAACATTTGAATGTGTCCAGGTTTGTCGTTTGCGTGCAACGTTAAGCTTGAACACATTTGAACGTGTCCATGTTCGTCGTTGTCTGCTTTTATCGTTGTCTGATTGAGGCGGTGTCTGCTTTTAATGTAGTCCACGTTTAACGTTGTCCAACTTCGACATCGTCCCGAAAATAAACTTGAGATCGAACTCCTTGGCTTGTGAGAACCAGGAAACAAGATAAAACATTAACCTCAAGTAAACAAGCCCAAACGTTTGACATCAGTCCTGCTGAGCTAAGGTGTTGTGTGAAGATTTCGGCTGCTAGTGTACTTAATTCAAGCAACCAACTTTTGAAGATAAATGTTGTGAATTGTGATTTTGAAGAGACAGAAAACTGTGGACTTGGCTAATTTGATATTCTATAGTTCAAAATTGTCATTTAAGTTTATTTACACAGCTTTACATTGTTTTATAGGTTAAAAATACATATTCAGCTTATTATTAACCACGCCAAACTATCCGAATCCAAAAATATCCGAATCCGAACCTCCCAATATCCGAACCGAGCCTCAACTATCCGATCCGAAATGAAATTTCACTATCCGCACACCTCTAATTTTACTGTCTCTTGATTTAGAAATGGGTTTTGTTCTGTTGAACATTTTAGATTTTATTCTATAACTAAACTTTAACTCTAGTCTAAAACATTGAATTGTATGTCAACAATTATTTTTTTCAGTCATAAATCATTCAAAAAAGGATATGACATTCGCAGTTATTTTTTTTATCCAAACCAAATCTTGTTCAATTGATTTTTTTGGGCAATTAGAATTATAATTTACACACTGTAACAATAGTTGTACAACCCCTTTGTAGGCCCACACATTTCACTCTAGGGCTTTGCCATGTTGCCTTTAACAGCTCCTCTTCCATACAGGCACACTTGGTTATCTTAGTTTCTTGAGTCAATCATTGATTTAATCTGTTTTTTTAAACATGTAGCCACTGACTATTTGTTTGTTTGATCTGTAGGAATCTTTGGACGGAGCCAGTGACAATGGAGAGATCAAAGAGACAGAGGCAGAGGTGGACAACTTCATCATCGGACCAGAGACTCCCAAGAACAACTATGTGGTTCAGCTGCTGTATTCCACTCCTGACAACTCCATGGAGGAAGAATCCAAGACGCCAGAAGTGAAGGGATCGCCAAAAACAGTGAGTGGTCTACCTTACTCTAGGATTTTCAATCTAGAGATAGAAAATGTGCCCAGTTGTCTAGGCAGCCGCATTCAATAGTAAGAGGCAGACAACTAGTGGGCGTAGTCATGGATTATAGACAGGGCGAGAATGTAATGTTAAGGTTGTAGCGAAATTTTGATAAAAATGAATGTAATTTATTTGATCTACTTACATAGTGTGCTGATATCAATTATTGATTTGTGATGAATATTGATTTCTCTTTTGATGGCTCATCTACAGACCAAGCCCTTTCTTTAGAGACCCCTTCCTGGTTTGTACGCCCAGCCGTTCTCTGAAATTAGCTGTGACAAAAACCCGTTTTTCCCCCATAGGAATAACATGGGATGGGAATTTAAAGGCCACTGGGGCAGAGCCCCAAGGGAATTTACCACGTTTCTCTTTTGATGGCTCATCTACAGACCAAGACCTTTCTTTAGATACCCCTACCGAGTTTCTACGCCCAGCCGTTCTCTCAAATTAGCTGTCACAAAGAAAAACAGTTTCAAATTAATATATAGACTAGTGTACCTGTTGCTCGAATTCGAGCAATTTGCGAAGCATTACAGGTGACTCACGAAGATTATGGTAATACTCACGATCTACACAACAGTTAGATATAATCAATATCTTTTGTAAATATCTTGTCTTTTCTCAAAAAGCTGATCTAGTTTTTTAGTGTTTCTACAATTTTTTCCCTCTCATAGCCACATTAAGTTGTCTTTGTCTATAATAACAATTATAAATAAAAAAAAATATATATTTCTTTTCTTTTACTTGGTTGTGTTCTATGACTTTTTTATGTTTCCATTGTTTGCAAATCGGTCATTTCAATGATTGCTCAAGAAATGTAGCATATTGTTAATTTAGTTTTATTTTTAGCCTATATCAAATTGTCCAGGATTTCTCGCTTTTTTCCATTGTAATAATTTCACCAACCCAAGTTTCGTCTATAGATGGAATACGCCAAAGAATATCACCTATGTACAATCTCCAAGAAGTGGTAAAAAAGGCAGAAACCAAGCCATACAATAGATATAAGTTAACTCCATAAGAAATAATTTTAAGAGTTACTGTGATATTAGGATTTTCCACTGATTTGGTAATAGAACATTATATTGCAAAACATGACACGATGCAGAATAAAATCGATTTTAAAATCAGAAAAACCCATTGCAAATACTTACTTCATTTTGAAAAATTCAATAAATCACAATTTAAATATTAACAGCTGTTTCATTAAAAAGTAGTGTTAAATTATGCATATGGTAAACAAATTTGAAGATGCAACTTTAAAGGCTTCTGGGGCAGAGACCCAAGGGAATTTACCTCGTTCCTCTTTTGATGGCTCATCTATAGACCAAGACCTTTCTTTAGAGACCCCTACCAAGTTTCTAGGCCCAGCCGTTCTCTCAAATTAGCTGGGACAAAAACCCAGTTTTCCTCCATAAGAATAACATGGGATGGGAATTCAAAGGCCACTGGGGCAAAGCCCCAAGGGAATTTACCACGTTTCTCTTTTGATGGCTCATCTACAGACCAAGACCTTTCTTTAGACACCTCTACCGAGTTTCTACGCCCAGCCGTTCTCTCAATTTAGCTATGACAAAGAAAAACAGTTTCAAATTAATATATAGATTCTAAATATTCAAGCTAAACTGAAAGGACAACTTTCCATAAACCCCAGCATCTTTGATATCATATCAACTATCACAGTAAAAAAAAAAAAAAAAAAAAAAAAAAATTAAAATAATAATAAAAAAAAAATCAATAGTAAAATAATCAAGGGGGAAAATATAGCTTTTGACTAGTGATGTGTCAATATAAAAATTTATCGATTCTCGATACCGATACTGATACCTGAAAGATTGATTCTCAATTTTCGGTACCGATAGCACTTTTAAACATATTCAATATGGGTTGATTATTAATAGTTTGTGCCGCAACATCAATATTTGATCATTTATTTATTGGTTATTGCTGTAAACCTGATAATTGTCTCTGTAGCCTGGAGGGGCCGTGCTGGAAGTGGGAGGCGAGATGGTCAGTCTAGGAGGGGCTGTGGTGGTGGAGGAAGAAGTAGACACTACAGTACATGAGGTGGAGGTTCTAGTGTCTGATCTAGACAATACAGGTTAGTATCTAGCCTTCATATTCTGCATAGGCCTACAGGGTGTCTCAAACATGCGTGGCTGACTATACAGGGCCCTAGTGATGGTCAAAACCAGAAATTTCAAATCTCAAAACCAAAACTGAAACTTAAAAAATCAAATCCCGAATCTAGAATCTCAAAACCTAAACGCGAAAAATACACATAATCATAAAATGTTGTATGCAATCAAAACAGAAAGAGATCGACTCCTGACCAAGACATAACATAAATATGTGAATGTGACTGATAATCTTAAAACCCAATACAACATAACTTTCCATAAACAACCAAAAAAAAAAAAAAAAAAAAATACGTTAAACTTCTAACCCCAAAATAAACATGAATATTAGATTAATTAGAACATTTAGTGGTCAATATTTCTTTGTGTTTAGTAAATATTGATGTGAAACTGAATTGTACCAGTTAGGCTATAGTATTTAAGATACCTTTTGAAGTTCAGGATAAAATTTACTTGTTTTATAACTGTTTATGGTGAGGTTTGCTCTGTTGCTACCTGCTTTTTTGGAAACAGTGTTAAAAACAATAACAATGGCACAAACAAATTTCAGCAGTTTCAAAAATGAAACTAAAACTGCCAAAATCTTAAATTTCGAAACTTTTGAATCTCGAAACTTGGTAATCAAATCTCAAAACCGAAACTTTTCCTTAATTTTTGATTGTTTTGAGACTTGAGATTCGGTTTTGACACATCACTACAGGGCCCAATTGTACATACCTAAATAAGTTAAGGATTTTCAGTAATTTTTTACATTTTGGAATAACTTATCCATAATCTGTCATAAAAGATTCAAAGCATGTTGGTGATATTCGTATGATACTTGATATTCACGGTAGAGTCTGTTATTAAATGTCTCCACAAATATTTTTACCTAACTTTATAAACTTTGAAATGGCGGTCTTTTAAAATGTCCAAAGTTTGATAACGAGTCTCTAAATAAAAATTATACACAGTAGAAGGAAAAAAAAATCATGGTCAATTGTAATAACACTTTGATATGTGAGAATTGGTTAGTAAATAAAAAAGTAATGTCAATTAATCTATAACATAAAAAAATTCTAAATGGCGGTCTTTATGAACTTTTAAGTAATATCTCTCTAAATCGAGGCTGTTCTATAAATTTACTTTCCAGAGTGTGTAGAGTTCAGGTTTCATTGATCACTTTAGGCCAATATGGACATCTAATTTATTTTACCAAAAATCATCTCAGTATGTCAAAACTTAAATTTATTTACATTTGTTTTACTGTCAGAAGTTGTAAGTGCTATACAATCTTGTATAGTTCAGCTAGCATAAACTAGCTTGTCAGCTTCTACTACACAAAAGCTGCCAGTTCCTTGTAATATTCTGATTCAGGACTGGTGATTCAGAGTAGGGAGACAGCTAGCTCAGCTGTTTTGTGTTGCACTGTCCACGTGCGAGTTACATAATGTCCTCTAGGTGCTACACACTGTGTTTAGTTGTTTGTCATGTAAATAATATTAAATTGTAATTTTGCCTGTTTTGTTGATTATCACTTTGTTTTTGTAGAGATTGTTATTGATTTATTTCTTTAGGCGTTTGCAAGAATCATTAAGAAATATGAACATACCAGGTAAAATTCGTACTATGGTTATCTAGCCTTATTCATTAATTAATTTGTTAATTCTTTCATTCATTCATTAATTTGTTAATTCTTTCATTCATTCATTTAGACAAAAATATTATTGATTTTCCTGGTATTGTGTTGTGGAAGCCTATTTTTCATAGCAGATGATTATCAGGTTAGGTCGTTAGGTACAATTAAAAAAAAATTATTCTTAGATATCTGAATTAAGAATTTGAAATTGGTGTTTTCTTCCAGAGTAGGTGTGTGGCTCTTTCAAAAGTGCATTAAGTTTAACATTTCCTTGAGGATCACTTTGTGGGGATGGTTTTAGCCGACAGCCATTTGGTTTTGTGTGTTAGTAGCTTAAATCTGGCTTGAGGACATAAACAACATCTTCCCACATAAGGAATTGTTCGTGAATTATATCTTTTATTTCCTTAAGTAGTGCTCAACAAATGTTTTCCTGTGTATACAATCCTGCCCCAGTTGTTTTACTGTTTAAACCATTAGTATTCTTGCGAAGACCTGAATCGCATGCTGGACTTGACCTAGTATAGATTTTAAATCTTTAGTTTTGTTTTCAGTCAGCAGCAGTCACAGGATGGAGGTGACGGATGTGAAAGAATCCACCATCTCCAGTACCAGCAGCACTCCAGTCTTGGAGGAGTGTAATGCCATTTCTACACCTGTCACCAGGTAAACATCAGTAGTTTTGTATAAAAATGACATTATGAAGCTGCAACTTTTAAGCTACCGTCTTATCAGCTTAGCCATTTCACCAGCTATAGCCTCGTTCACTCCGGGCGAGTTTACAAGCTACTCGCCAGCGTGTTAGAAGCCAGCAAGTCGGCGAGTGTGCTAGTATTCGTTCACACGGAGCTTGTCCACTTGTCAACTCGCAGAGGTGTAGAAAGACGCCGGCGAGTGCGCTTTTAGTCGTTCACACGATGCTTTTCCAACACGCTCAGTAGCTAGCTTGAACCAAATCCTCCGACATCTTTGAATAACATTCGCACAAGCACAAGCAACTGTGTTCACACTGGGCTACTTTACACGTCTACTCGCTCAAAAGCTGGCGATTTGACGTGTAAAGTAGCGGCAGCGTCAACTTTTTCCAGACCTTTTTTACAAGCAGCTTTTGAGCGAGTTCGTCGTTCACACTGAGCTATTTTACTAGCTGCGTGTAAAAAAGCCGGCGTGTAGCTTGTAAACACGCCCCGTGTGAACGGGGCTTATGTCTGTAATGACAACAGGCTGTGAGGCTTGGTAAGTTTAACAAGACGGAGGGTCTTGTTAAATTCCAGGATCTTCTAAAGACGGAGGTGCTTGTTGAAACAAAACCTTTCTATACAGGCTCCTGGAATCAAACGGTCTGTTTGAGCGACAGATCCAGCTTCTAAAACTGTTTCACTTGGTTGAAGTAGCAATTGTCACTACTTTCACCTAAATTAAAGGATTTACACTTTTCCTACATAGCCTAAGTTAAAGGGTTTACACTTTTCTTACATATGAAAAAACTGTAAAACTGGAGTAAGGTCTTAAACTGCATCAAGTTTGTGTTAGTAGTAGCATAATAATAATGAATTATTTTAATGGAAACATTACACTGACTGATAAAAAAATAATAAAAAAAAAAAAAAACTTAAGTAGACCGCATGAAAACAACCTGATAGAAATTTTAGAAGATTTTTGTTACAGCTATCGTAATTCGACAGAAATAAGCAACACTGATTCAAATACCAACAAATTGTTTCCCTGTAAGTTATTTCGGCTTTAGTGTAAGTTATAAATTTATATCTTTTATACTGAAAATGTTTTGTTATTTTCAAGTAAATATGAAAGTGAGGTTGAAGTGAAAACTGAAGATGATAAACATTCAAAAGACAGCCCTTCCACATCCTACCAAATGACTGCAAAAATTATTGTAAGTACCCTAAAACTTGGCTAGAAACAAAAAAGATAAATGTTAGGTTAGATTATGCTCTAGAACGCATTCTTTGACACATATTAATTATTTAGATCTAGGGGTTGATTTCAAATACTAGTTAGGTAGTTGATTTTTGGTTCCACCTGATACTTCATTTTCCTTGATTTTGGCTATCTGTGTTATTGGGAAATATACAGAGAATAAAATACAGACTTCGGTTCAGTAAAGAAGTTTTGTAAGTTGGTAAGAAGGATAAAAATATATTCCTTGTTTAATTTGCGAACTCCTTTTTCAAATAGACGTAAGCAAAGTCTGCAAACTTATATCATAATCCTACTGTCAACATAATTAACTATGTACAATTAGGAATTGGTAGATTGTTGATATCACTTATCCTTGGACATTAGTAGGCTACTAAGATTCAATCCCTAAGTGTCAATTGATACTAACCATAATCTGAGATTTGATACACAAAATTTGGCAATCAAATTGTTTGAAAAAAATTGCTGCATCTAGAATCAATGAAAACAAGGTCAGCGATATATTTACTTGTTTTAACACAAACAAAACACCGTTAGCACATTCCAACAACATTGGAGAATTAACAAAGCGTCAATTCAAAACTAACAATTTTACAGTCGAAAGTCAATTAGTTGGTACCAAGCAATTAATTACACTACTAAATCAACTAAAAGTTATACTTAATTCCGAACAAAAATAGTAGGCCTACAGTAATGTTTAAGCAATTTTGTTTTGTCTTTACCCATTCTGTTTACAGTATTAGTAAGTCCCTACTAGTTAGACTTGATATTTCACTGTGTTATTTTCGCATTGTATCCTGTCTTGTGCAGGAGTCCAAGCCTGCCTCTCCTTGTGTGGAGGAGGAAGACGCAGGCAAGAGACCCAGCAAGAAGCGTCTCATCAGCGGCAGTGTGTGTTCTGATTCTAAACCTAGCAGCCCTGCTCCTCAGTTGCTGTATGTAGTATACTCATTATCTAACTGTTCCGTTTTGCAAAGGAAACAGTTTTTTTTTAGCCTAGTAGTGCTCTACCCGGTTCCAGAATGTTCAATTAACATGGGACAAGTTTCCAACCTGTAGATAAAATGGAAATGAATGCTGGTAACGTTATTGTGAATAATACTTTTAAGTTGATCATACACTGTAACAATTTTACAGTGGACTAGCACTTGGGTTTTAAAGTTTTATAATATACTAGCTGTGAGTACCCGTTCTTCGTACGGGTTTATTCAAGAATAAGGTTACAAACTTTTTGTAATAACAATGATTAATTTATTTTAACATAATTTAGTACATAAAAATACATTAAAAAACTTAAATCTTAAAAAATATTCGAAAGTTTTAAATAACAAAGTTGGCAAAGATAGCAGAGTTGAAGCGCTTAACATTTGTCACAGCGAAATTACAATATCAAAATTTCAAAAACAACAAATGACATACATTGAAAATAAATATTAAATAGTGAAGAAAAACAAAAAAACACAAAAAATTAAAAGGTTGCCTAACTTAATGCCTCTTCATATACTATATTAGTGGTTCGACCGCCTGGGGCATGTATGTAAAGGTTGGTTGGCGATCGCACTCGGCTGCACGCCACGTACAGCTGTCCGTGTGAAAAACATTGCGCGTCACCTAGTTCAATCCCTGCTGTTGACAGTGTCTGACCTTGCGATTTGTTGATCGTCATGGAAAAACATGGATTTAAGGGAAATTGCAGGCGCTTAAACTCAAAGGGATAGTTGCTTGGGATGAGGGGGATCCGGGGGACAAACACCACTTCTCCCGCACCACAGCCTGTTAGAATTTCGGCTTCTATGACATTTCGCTGGAGACTTCGAATTCGAAGCCGAGTCCCATTGCATAATTTAGGAGGGTTTAAATTTCTTAGAAGCATAACGGGAATACCAATTTTAAGATTAAGTTCGTGGGCGGGTAGTCCAGGTGCTGTCACCGAGTCAAGAAACTCTGCCGGGTAGTGCACTGCGTCATCATTTCTTAGAACTGTGTTCACCGACAAATATGTCTTGTCCTCGCTTAGGAATAGGGACATCACTTTCTTATTTATCTTTGTTGAAACTTCATTTTTTGGAGTGAGAATAGCCCTATTGCATAACCAGGCACTGCTCTTGTTTGGGAGGTCTTCAATTCCTGGATAGACTTTCTCGATGAGTTCATCTTGGGTTTGAACAATAACACCAAGAGAAGGTGGTATATCGATAGTTCCATCAACGTTACCCAGCTTTCCATCTCCCAACTTTAACAGAACATTGGAGAATTCTTCCACCTCATTTCCAATATTGGCCCGCATGTTCTTTGTTAACGCCAGTTTGTTCATTATTGGCCATAGGGTAGATCTTTTAGGCGTTAATTTCATCCGCCCTTGTGCCTCTCACTACAACTGGCAGAGTTTGGCGGAAGTCACCAGAGAACAATACCGTCACTCCACCCATGATCTTATTACTGTTCCTCATATCTTTGAGTGTTCTGTCGAGGGCCTCGATTGTCAGTTTATTGGACATCGTACACTCGTCCCAGACTATTAAGGAGGCTGCTTGTAGAACTCGTGCCATGGGAGCGCTCTTCGATATAGAACAAATCGGGATGTCCATATGCTCTACATTTATTGGGATTTTGAACATGGAATGGGCAGTTCTTCCACCTGGCAGAAGGGTTGCTGCAATGCCAGAAGAGGCCACAGCAAGAGCAATCTTACTGTTTGATCTAACCTTTGCGAGAATCAGCTTTATGAGGTAGGTCTTTCCAGTACCTCCAGGAGCATCAAGAAAAAACATCTTGTTTCTTTGTCCATTTATGCTCGTCAAAACTTGCTCATACACTTGGCGCTGCTCCTCGTTGAGAGTTGGCGTACACTGTTCAATAAACCTAATGAGTTCGGGATGGTCGTAACTTGTCTCTCTGATATAATCATGGTTTAACTGATTGACATCTATGGCTGGTACTGGTAAGTTGTAGCTTTCGAGCCCAAGTCCTCCCATGCGAGTGATTGTCTCTTGAATGCTTGCTAGGCACTGGTCATATATGATAGGATTGTTTTCAAAGGTGGTGTTAATGTCGACTTGATGTGCAGATCTCAAAAAGTCCTCTGAGAGGGAATCTCTGAATCTGATCCAGAGCTCAAGAGGGTTGCTCACATTGCAAAATACTAATAAGACACTGAAGAGATCCCTCAACTTGGTGGGACTGTCAGAAACAGCAGCTTCTGCAAGAGTGCCCTCCCAGCACGCATCATCCTCTAGTAAACCAAGGGCACGGCATGCGGATTGGAAATTTGGATGGAGCACACCATCAACAGTCTTGAGATCCTCAAAAGATGTTGGACCTCGAACAGTGTGTAGGAGGAGTCGGAGATGGTAACGCTCACTGCAGCTTGGATGGACAGTGTACACCCTACCGATGCACGGATCTTGTCTCACGTCAGGATGTCCTGGTACTGGTTGTCCTCTCCGCCTCCTGGACCAACCTCTTTGTTTAGAGTATGTGTAATAATAGGGCAACTCGTTGTAGAGGAGGGTTCTTGAAAAGGCGTCCGTCTGGCAGAGATTGAAGAAGGCCAAAAGAGTTGTACTTTGGTCCATTCTTTCCCGAACATTGCCTGGCTGGAAATATACTATTTGCTCATTTGGAAGGTGGACCTCTAAATGCAACACAGCGGGAAACCTCTCATGTATAGGAAATGATAAAATTCTCCATACCGCCTCAGATGTGCATATATACCGACCACTTTGGTACATTTTAATTTCGTCTGTGTCATTACTTACTGCAAATGTGGCCTGGTCACTGCCCTTGTTTATGTACTTGCAGATGTACTTTATAGATTTTACACTGCTACAGTACTCAACGTTAACATGTGTTAGAAATGTTCGGGACAATACAGGCGAGTAAGGTACTACCCATCGGTTGTCCATAGGGATTTCATCGTTACCTACTCTGATTAGGACATGATGGCCTCCATCATCTGGGGAGCGCCTTCTGTATGTTGGGTATCCATTGTCTCCTGTTGCCGTTTCATTGACAAATGGTCTAGGGTATCTTTTGCTACAGTGACCATCCTTCATACAGGGAAGCTTGCGCTGTCGCACATTAAAAGCTCCGCATGGTCCGTGCAGCATGTGAGTCTTGACTATATCTGCAAGTTCAGGATCAGTTTCAGGATTTGGAAGCTCTGCAGAAATGACTTGATCTATTCTATTTGGAGGAATGGATTCTTCAAGCCAAATCAGGATATGAGCGTGTGGAAGACCACGTTTCTGCCATTCAACAGAGTACATGTAGCAGCGAACTGAGCCATAAATCTGGCCTTTCATAAGAACAGCAATCATACAGTTAAGCTTCAAATGAAAAACTCGTGATACCACATCATACCGGTCGTGAGCAGACTGCCTTTCTCCAATTACACTCGTGATTTCTATCCATTTTGGATTTGTTGTCATTGTTATGAAAAGTTCTGGACGACCAAACTTCCGAACATAGCAAAAGGCGTCCTGTGTGCGAGAATGCATATATCTAGGACCTCCAGTGAAGGTGGCAGGTAAAATTATCTTTTGCCCCATTTCTTCTACGTTGTCGTCTCGTCTTAAAGCGTCTTGAAGGTGTATGTAATTCTCTGCTCTCAGTTCCTTTTGGTGCGTACGAAGATACAGCAGCCTTTCACTCTCAACTTTAGCGTACATGTCCACCAAGTACTGGTTCAAAAGCTGTTTGAATTTATGAATGTGATTTGCTTCACCTTCTCTAACCATAATGCGATAGGCGTAAAACTCTCGTGAGCTAGTTTTCTTTGTGGTTGGTTGTTTAGTAACCGGGTTTACATGATATAAATTGAAACTATATCCATCTTCGCCTCTACAAAACATAAGGGGATATTGTAGGGCATCATAAGATCGGTGGGTTTCATATATTCGTTTCAAACCCTGTTCTCTTGAATTTAAAATGATGTCTCGATGGTCACTTGGATCCCCAATCATCAAAATAGCAACCTCATTGACTGTTGGTTCATTGTATCTACCTGGGTGGTCCCCTGCAGGGCGTCTGTCGGCTCTAATAACAATTTTGAAATCAGGTGAATCTACAGGAAATGTTTCTAAAGTAGTTTTGAAGCTGAGCAAGTAGGCGTTATTATTCTGAAGCATGTTTTGCAAAGCGGCCAACATGTCATGATCAAGGTCTTGAAATAAACTTTGCCTTCTTTGAAGCTGGACTTGGTCATCCCCAACAAAGTAAATCTGAAGGTAAGACGGCGGAAGTCCAGGGGGTGGCAAAAGAGAGCCGATCAAATGGTACACTTGTCCTTGAACCTTAAATGTAGGCATATATGGTCCTTCACGGATTTCATTACCTCCAAAAGAAGTCATTTGGAACGCACTATTGTAGGCCCTGATATGTCTAAGAAAATTTCGCGATTGAGGTGATTCGTCCGATATCCATGTACGTAGCGGCTCAGGTGCTTCCAAAATAGACGGTATGGACACTTTACCAGAAGCACAACATATTCCACGTGGTTCCTTTGACCAACTCAAAGCGTGACAAAACCTACAAACTTTATCAAAATCTCCAATATTGGCAGCTTCACTGTAACGTGTAAAAGGATCATATTGGAATTAGGGATGGACGAGATTGGATTTTTAGTTCGAGACGAGACGAGACGAGATTTTTTATTTCTCATAAAATTTCGAGACGAGATCGAGACGAGATTTCTCTTCTCATACAAAACGGGAAATGCACGTTCGAAATTTTTACCTGATTTTGTGACATTGTTAGATGACTGTTTAAATACTAAAATAATGATAATAGGCAAGAATATTTACAATCTTTCATTAAATAACATCAGCATAACATTTTTTTATTAATCACGCCTAACTTATTAAAAATGCCTACGATTAGGAAACATGGTGATATCAGTTAGGATAGAGTTCAACTTATCCTAAAATAAAATAAATCATAAAATAAAAGCAATATTAATTTTTATAAAATAGTTACTTGTTTTGACTTTTTTTATAGTAATAAAACATTCCTCACACTGCTTACACTTAACAAAACTTCTCAAATGTTATTAAAGTAATATTATTAAAATAATGAAAGTAATATTTACATTAAAAGAATTAAAGTAATATTTACATTAAAAGAATTAATTAAATAAGAACGCCTTCGAAAAGGAAACGCAACTACAACACGCTCCTGTATTGCGGGTATTGCATTGACTTTCTGCAGGCGTTTTTAATTTTTTTTTTTTTTTTTTTTTTTTTTATTCTCGTCTTGATAAAAATCTCGGCCAAAAAGTAATCTCGTCTCGTGTAACGAGATTGAAAATTTCCCGAAAATTTCCCGAAATTTCGAGACTTGACCATCCCTAATTGGAATCCACTGTTGTGTGTGTCTCGCCATTCTCTTAAATTTCTTTCGACATGCCGAGTTCTTTCCCGCGCGATCCTAGTTTGTCTTTCTGCGTCGCTCTCAACGACTCTGTTCACCCTATGTCTTTCAGAATCAGCGGCAACACGGGCATTTCTGTCAGCAATGTCCTGGCTTGCTCGAAGTTCCTCCACTCGGGTCGCCTCGTCATGCAAAAGTAGAGTTTGCTCTTCAACAGTGCGACGGTACCTATCATTGTCGATTATATGTCTAGCTTCCCGCTCTTCAGGAGTTTCATTATTCCTACGTTGGTTTTGCCGAACTCTATCTCGTTCTTGCCTACTTTCTCTCTCTTCTCTTGTTTCATTTTCCCTCCTGCGAACGTGTAGGATTCGGTCACTGTTTCGACGTGCTCCTCCCTCCTCCACTGTCTCGTTTTCCCTCCTTTGAACATGTAGTATTCGGTCACTCTCCCGACGTGCTTCTTGCTCCTCCTCTGTTTCGTTTTCCCTTCTCTGGACGTGTAATATTCGGTCATTGTTCCGACGTGCTTCTTGCTCCTCCTCTGTTTCGTTTTCCCTCTTCCGTACGTGTCGTATTCGGTCACTGTTCCGACGTGCTTCTCGCTCCTCATCTGTCTCGTTTTCCCTCCTCTGAACATGTAGTTTTCGGTCACTCTCCCGACGTGCTTCTTGCTCCTCCTCTGTTTCATTTTCCCTCTTCCTTACGTGTATTATTCGGTCACTGTTCCGACGTGCTTCTCGCTTCTCATCTGTCTCGTTTTCCCTCCTCTGAACATGTAGTATTCGGTCACTCTCCCGACGTGCTTCTTGCTCCTCCTCTGTTTCGTTTTCCCTCCCCCGAACGTGTAGTATTCGGTCACTGTTCCGACGTGCTTCTCGCTCAACCTCTGTCTCGTTTCCCCTCTTCTGAACTTGCTGTATTCGGTTGCTGCACCGACGTGCATCTCGCTCCTCTTCTGTCTCATTTTCTTTTCTCTGGACGTGCCGTATTCGGTCCCTGTTCCGTCGAGCTTCTCGCTCCTCTTCCGTCTCATTTTGTATTCTTTGGCTAAATCTTAAACGTTCAGTGTCTCGCCTGCTTTCACGTTCTTTTTCATTCTGCTGAGACCTAAATAGGGCGACACGCTCTCGACTGGTTGAAGGTCGTGCATAATCTTCAACCACAACGGAACTTAAAATTGTCGACTCATTATTGCTATGTACACCATCATCAGAGTCCGAATCATCATAATCAACTGATTCCGTGGATACACACAATTTTTGTCTCTTGGCATTATTTGTTTTTCTACCCAAAATTGCTTTTTCTCTTGCGAGGCATACTCTTCAGGACATATTTATTTAGAAACAATAGAAAATATTTCAACAAATAATGTATTAAAGATTAACTTGTAACCTCTCAACTAAAGCAACAAAAATATTGTCCATATGTTTAGTTGTAAACAAATTTAATTTGTGTTTGACACTATGTCAACGAATATCTCTACTGTACAGTATGAAACATCTGATTGATGCAAATTCATATGGGAATATGAACTTTTTTAAAAACATTACCTCAAAAAAAAATAAATTAAAAGAAGAGTAGATTTTCTTTTATTTATAAACGTGAAATAATTTAGGACATTATTAACTATTATAACTTTTATTTTGGTGTAAAGAGTAATGAACAATAATAAACTGGTCAAGTTTGTTTGCTGGTTAGTAGCGCACAGATATTAAAGAATAACAATCAGCTGATCGTAATTTTGTTATCTAAAATGTTTAACTTTTATATTGAATACTTTGTATTGAATCTGTAATTTGAATTAAATTTACTTCTAACCAATTAATGTATTATTATTTTAATTATTTGTACGGTAATGGATGAAATGTACAAAACCCATTGTTATAATTAGCAGAACTGGTGTTCAGTTATATAATATAGTATACATTTCGTATGGTTTTTAAGTTGTGTGAATCGATAAGGCTATGGTTAACCTTGAGTTCAAATAGGCTAACGTTTTCTAATCACAGCTGTATGCCAATGTCAAAATTAAGATTGTATTTCAATTAAAACCATGTGCATATGATTAGTTGTAAACAAAGCAACATTCTTCCAGAAATTCCACGTCAAAAATCGACAAAAACTTGATTTTCAAGGGTTTACTGTTAAATATCTAACTGTCTCATATTCGATGAAATACGTCTAAAACCATCTCATATATGTATAGTATTTGGAAAATAAGTTTCAGGCGGGACAGTGCTATAGTTATTGAGGAGTAGTTGTAATAAAGTGCGTATTTTAGCGTTACCAAGAGAATGACAGATAGACAGACAGACAGACAGACAGACAGACAGACAGACAGAAATTGAGATAAGGTTTGATTCGGTTTCTCTGACCTATGAAATGTAAAAATAACCAAAAAGTTCATTATTCTAAGCAATGTACAGACAAAACTCTAATTTTATTTATATAGATGGATGTGGTACGGTAATAAGCTAAAGACTCTACTTCAGTAAAATTACAAGTTCAGGATTAGCTAACGTATTCAGAAATATGTAGGCTACTTAGTCATAAATGTCCTGGAAAACTAGAGTACGTATCACTGTTGCTGCAAAAAATCCGTAAAAGCAGTTTATTATACATCAAAAATACTTAAATGAAATCTGTTCCTTAAGTTTTATCAAATAGGCCTATACTTGTTAAGAGTCAGCAGGACCGCTGACCATCGTGGATTTTCTGCTCATAACGACAATGTTAATGGTTGAAGCTTATTACGGCATTGTTTATTAAGATAAAAAGTTGCAAAATATCTAATTTTAAAGCTATTGAAACTGCAGATGTGATTTGCCATCTACTTTTTAATTTTATTTGTTATTATTTTGTCAAACTACATAAATATATTGACTTAAACTGTAATATTTTTCAACCTCTAAAACAACAGTTTTGAAATCCACAAAGCAATTCACACGGAAAATATATTTAAGAATTACATACAATTTTCTGCTCGGTAATCAAGCTTACGGTGTATGATTAATATGATTCAACGTGAACGCATGTTATGCTGTTTGGTGCTAGGACAACCACTATTTAGTCCGGCTGATGGTCAACAACAATGCAAATTATTGACTCCCGCCGACTCATAAGCCTGTGTATTACAATTAATTAATTATGAACCATGTCATGAACAGCTGGACCTTTTTTACCTTTTTTATTAAAGCAAGGATTCTACCTTCTAAGTCTGTATTCTTTAAGCCTAGTTTCACTCGATGCATCAAATTCCAATTTACTGGTGTTCAAGTTTGTTGTGGCAACTTAGTCCTTGCTTAATGTATGTTCATTAGCCTATGTAATTTGTTTTTATTCTGGTAAAACTTTTACAGTGTAGGCCTAAGCTAATTTATATTGCTGAGTTCTAAAATTGTAAGTCTAAAACTATCCAATCTAATCTAGAAATTCATCTTACAGGGAAGACAGCAAAGATAACCGCGCTTGGAAGAAGTCCATCATGTTGGTATACAACCGGCTGGCAACTCACAAGTACGCCTCCATGTTCCTGAAGCCTATCACCAATGAACAGGCACCTGCCTACGATACTGTGGTTCACAGGTACCAGCTGCATGTTAAATAGACAACCGGTTCCGTGCCCTCATTGTATCAATGACCTTTTTGATGGTGCCAAATTAAAGATTATAAATAGTTTTAAAACATGTTTAAAGATGCAAAGTACAAACGCACGGTCAAAAGTTAGTAAACGGTTACGTAATGCAACCACAATGGTTGATTTTTACTTTAGCAGATAAAAGCGTAAACTTTGACAGTTTTTTTTTTTTAATATTTTACTTTCAACTTTACTACCACTTCAATGATTTCCTAAATGCTAAATTTAGGTAGAATTCTGTTCTATAAAATGTTACAATAACATTCTGTTCATGTGAAAACCTGATGTTTAAACTGATTTGTTAGATAATTTCCATACACAGCCCCATAGCCCTATTCCTTGTATCTGGATGAAAATGTAACGGTTAAAATAAGCTAACATGTGCTTTTTGACCTGTAGAATAATCTGTCATAGAACAAGCGCCTAGAATTCAACCACACAAGTTAAACCTTGACAGTTAAGTTTGTTAGATTTCGTTACAAAAAATATGATTGTCTTGTGTTAGGACATTGAAAACCCTTATTTCCCAATCTAACTTGGAAATACCAACCCTTCACGATTTAACACATATTTTTGTGTGTAGGCCGGTAGACTTGTTCACTATCAAGAAGAGAATAGAGGTTGGAGACTTGCGCACTACTGTGGAGTTCCAACGAGACTTGCTGCTGATGTTCCAAAATGCCATCATGTACAACAACAGCGAGTCCCTCGTGTATGAGATGGCCAGCATCATGCAGAACGAGTGTTTGCAACACATTGAGGTATCTTGTCCACTTATCCACATTGATTTTTAAATCAGTTGAATTCCAGTTATCGGCATCATTAGGACCGTGTCCAGATAATCAAAAATTAGTTGATGATTGGATTTTTCAAGAAAAAATATACATGGCAGTGGCACTAGGCATCATATATAGTCGCTGCGTTATGAACATATTCTACACACATTGAAATATGTAATGGATTCCTAAAAACTGCAAAACACTGCAATGAAGTAGATTTTTGGAAGAGTTTATTACAGTAGAATCCCGCAAACTCGGCTCTCGATAACCCGGCAGTCTGGATAACTCGGCCATCACCTGACTCAGAAAATTAGTGATTTTTTGAGTCAGAGTTAAAAATCAACTCAAGTCAAATCATTTGCAACTCATATCAAGGATTTGTTGTACTATATCTGATGACTTAACACTGACTTGTAGTATCAATATAAATAAAAAAAGGCGGTTAAAAAGCTTAAACATTTTATTTTTCTTTTTTTAAACCCTAGTTCCTGGATAACCCGGCATTTCACAAACTCGACACCCTTCCAGTCCACATTACACCGAGTTTGCGGGACTCTACTCTATATTTATTTTTGTCTCCCAGTGGTTACCCAAATAATTGGCCATCTGGATGAATGGAGTTTGGTAGTTGGAGTACTTCTGTAGCCTACTTAGACGGGATTTGAGAAAAAAAATGAAGCCTACATGTGATAGAGCTAGGGTTGAAAGAGATCCTAGCAATGTGCTAAGCCAATGACATTGTGGCTGCAGTCAATAACTTTCAACCTTATCGACTCTTCATAATTGAAATAATTACTACAGTATGTATACAGATTTTTGTCAACAAAGAAGCATAGCCTACCCTTAAAAAATGGAAGTGCTCACTCTAAAAGAAAGGCATAAGGCTGTTGCACTTTTAACTGAACAGGGTCATTTCAGATAACATTTTCAAGTGTTTCAGACTTGGTGACAGTAACGCTGTCTGTCCTCTTACAGTTTGATGAATCCGTCTAACATCTTGTAGAAGTAGAATGTGATATGATTAGAACATTGAGTATGCTCTGTGGGACCTCTGAACTAAGTTCACTAATATAATTTCCCTACTTCTGTATATGTTATTTCTTGAGCTGCAGAAAGGTACAGTTTGAAGCATGACTACTAGACATTAGAATGGCTCAGAAGGCCAAAAGTCACAGAACGAGGAGTCACTTGTAGGAGTTGTTGTAATTGTAAATTTAATTTATTCTATACTACAGGCCCATCACACCTAGTACAGGTTGTCAATAAACGGTGACCATTCGCCAATAGCTTTGGGTAAACAACTGGTTAAATGCCCTATTTAAAATTGTCTGCCTACTAAACTTTTGCTCAATTTGTTTTTGCATACTTGGTGTTGTTCCATAGTGAAAAATGAAAATAACTGGTAAAGATTGGATACTATTAGGATGTATTATTTTTTGGATGTTCAATACTGTAGTTGTTTTATTACTGTTTTAATTGTAATTTTTGCTATTTTACAAGTGTTAAATAAAAATAAGATTAGATTTAGATTACAGTTTTAGATTTGTTTATTATTCCTTCTCAGTGATTCTTATTTTTATAATGCTAATAATTGCATTTTTCCCCTCTACAGCTGATGGTGGAAGCAATGGGCGAAGGAGTTCCGTGGCGCAAGGACCCAGTCAATGTAGACAAGCTGCACACTCGGGCCCGTAGTGAGGCACCCAAAAGGAAGAGAAACTCTCTTGAAGATGCAAAATCTACCTTCACTCCAAAAAGAAGAAGAGACAACTCCACTTAGGTTAGAAAGTCAACATTTTGTTAAACATTTTGGCCATTTACTGCAAGGCCCTTACTTCATAAGCATTATTACTCTCGTTTTGACTTGTAAGTTTCTACGGGAAACATAATGTCCAGCTAACCTGGAAATTGTACTTAAATTTGGATGAGCAGGAAAAATCTGTGAATTTTGCTCCTATTTTTTATGGCATGAAAAATGTTATATCTTAAATGATCGCCAATATAATATGCCAATAATTTTGTCAAGTAAGAAAATTACGATTGAGGATGATGATCATGAGTTCACAACGTTGCTAGGCTTGTGGAAGTCACAACAATTGTTAGAAACAATCATAAACATGGCAGCGATCGGTAAATCTTCATGGATGTTGCTATAATTAAAGATGTTGCCTCTATCACTACAGTTCAATAAATCAATACAGTTATTGATATGACTGCAGAAGACGATCTTGGACATTGTCAAGATGGCTGGAGATAATCACTAATTTTGCTGAGTTAGCAGTAAACTGTCCCAAATTTTGGAATAGTTTTGAAAGTCGATTTTTTTCAGTCCATAAGTGATTTAAAATAAATTAAATAATAGTGATAATAGATGCTTATAGTAGGCTACCTTATTTGTATTTTGTAAACCTGGATTCAATATTTGAAACTCAAAGTTTAGGACAGATTTTACCATCACAAATTTGTCTGTCTTAGCAAAAAACTGAAACACAAAACCTCGATTGAATCTCAATTATTCGGTTCATAAGAATCCGTGAACAATCGCTAAATACAACATGAAACATGCATTTTCTTATTGCCCATTGCAAATAAGCTTGTCTTGACTTATAGGCAGTAACCTTTGATGTGTGGGCCTTTAAGATATAACGCTGTTATCATTGGACTTATAATTAAACTTATGTATGGTTTATGTTTATACATTTTAGCAGAAATGTAAAGAATCAACTTAAAATGCTATTACAAAGGCTAAACACAACAAAAACCCAATAGTTGATAGTGGGGGATCACTGATATCAATGAATACAAACCCCTATAAGAAGCGCAATGCCTATGTTGAAAATTTAGTTGATGAGACACACTTTCAAGAAATATGAAAATTTAGTCGGGGAATGTTTTTATTTTGGATAGTTCAGCGCAACTATCACGAGCGCGCTACCAAGTCAGCTGACTGATGTGAGAGAGAGTGAGACAAAGAATCAGCTTAGAGAGAGATAGAGTAGTGCGGCTGCCGAGTCTAACTATTCTCTATAAACATTTCACTTCTTATAGGGTTTATGTTCATTGATGATATGTTGGAATATATAAGGAATGGCCTAACAATAACTCTGTGTTCTGTAACAATCCTTTTAAAAACATTATGTTGTATTAAAATGAATTTAACCAATATCATAAACACTAAGTCAAGTTTTTATCATTTAATTTTTTTGGCAGTTATTAAAAGAGTTAATTTTTAGGGGATTGTCCTGTTTAACTTTTGAAAATGAAACTGTCATATTATCAAGATTACCAATATTTCCATAAGAAATATGTTTTTTATATGTTCTCAGGAGGTAGAAAAGAGATTTTATGTATAGTTATTATAGTTTTTAAAATAAGCTAAGCAATTTTGTACAGTATTTGTAAATGTCGTGAATAAATTGAAAACTATACTTGATCTGGAGCGTTTTATTTTCAGACCAAACTTTTGAAATGTAAAACAAGCATATTTTATTTATAGAGATAGATTATGCTTGAAAATAAAATATTATAAAAAGGATATTTTAAACTACAGGATTTATAAGCTATAAGTAATATTTGTTTTACATTGAACATTGAATGCATACTTTGATATTCTAGTCTAGAAGACAACCTAGTTTAGAATTTCCAATGCTCATCAATAGTATTTTGGTGGAATTTTAGGTTTTCATAGGTAAAATTGTATTAAAAAGATTGCTGGTTTCTTAATTATCAAGCTATTTCTGCTAAATACTTATTCCTGCTGAAATTTCCCTAGCCTAAGATTTTGCATAATAATTTGTAAACAATAAACGTAATAGTATATTACGTTACTAGTCCTGAAAATATGTGTTTACTGAACGAGTGTGGTCGTTCCACTACTCATATCCTCTAAGAGGTTATGTTTTTGATAATAACTCATTGCCAAATATAATCAGCTGGTTGGTGTGCTATAAAATCTCATTACAGTACAGTAGTACGTAATGAACCCCCATTTGATTAAGCTGGCGGCAAACAGCTGTTTTCTACACTAAATTCTCCTTGCTTGGGAAGTTTGTTAAAACAGTGTAGTGTGGCGTAAAAAACATTACGCTTCCAGTAATTGTTTCCTCACTGAAAATCAGCATATTTTCTGGTTTCTGATTTAGACATCACCATTTAATTTTGCTAAAATATAGAGTTGTTTTCAAATGACAATGTCCATGATATGGTGGATTTTATAACAATTACCATAGAATATCTAATACAAAGGCTGCAGCATGTGACAACCCCACAGTCCCAGCCTACCAATCAAGCTGTAGCACTAAAAGCCTGTGCTCACCGAACATGGGAGCAACTCGAATTTTCTAGCTCCTAGAAATGTAGTCACGGGAACTGTTCACGCGGGATTTTAGGTGGCGCAAACACAAAGCAAGAAGTTTTGCGGCGAACTCAAATTCAGTTGGTAAGGTGACAGTGTTGTGGTCAGTTGTACTTACCTTCTCATCATTTGTCGCTCATCAAGTCATCTGATGAAGAAGATGCTTTGTTTCCGTTTGCCTTGGCCGAGGTTGAAATATGTAAGAAGACGTGGGTACACACTATTAATAAAGAGAGAGAACTGTATGAGGAATATCACACAAAGATGTCGCACCTCGGAATGGATGAAAAAAAGTTTTACATTTCTGTTAAATTACTCTTAGTTAAAACTCTAAACACTCGTCTACACAAAAATGGTTTGTGTTTTTTTTTTTATTAAAAATGTGAAACTGGAATTGGATCACCATTTACTTACTGTAAAATTACGTAGGTATGCAGTTTATTTAACCAGGGCTATGAGAGTTAAATTTTAAATAAGAAACATAAGCCTGAAAAAAATGATTTCCTAAAATATAAACAATCGTTAATTTGATGCAAGTTAAGTTAAAATTTAAGAAAACCATCACTGCGATATTTAATTGGAATGTTCCAAACGAGTTTTATTTACAAATTCAAATTGACAGCTTCAATTACTCAAAGAAACTCTTCACGCTTTGTCTGAAGAAAACTTTATAATTATCTCTTGCTCGGTTTGAGTTTAGAAGTTCTGCTTAAAAGATAAACTGGGATTGAATCTTAACTAAGGATCCAATTTTAACTTACAATTAATTTTACAGCTAAACCACCGCTTAACAATTAATGGTGTTGCTAAGAATTGTTACATTCTAAGTGTAAATTTAACATTTGATATTAACAAAATAGCATATTTAAAATTTGACATACTTTGTTTAGACAAATTACTCATCCTTATTAGTTGGAGCTTAATATTTTTTATTTAAATAAATAAAAAGGTATTCAAATTTCTCTTCTCTAAATTAAAGTTATTCCCAAATTAAAGAAAACCAACTTATAACATACACTTCCACGGTCACCATTTCAGAAAAAGGTATTTAAAGTATAAAGTATTAATAAACGTTAATTTAAGACTAATTAGATTTAAGATTAAGCACATTAGGTAAGAACATTAATTAAGTAAATAATACAATATGTATTATTTTGCTTTTATTAACTTAGTTTCCATCCATCAAAATTTAAATGAACAATTTAAAGTTTGTTTATATATCTTTTCAATATATTGTGCAACTTAAAAAAATAAAAGCTACTATACGATGCTTTACGGCTCAATAAATTTTTCTGACATTAACTTATAAAACTCATAATCTTAAGAAAAAATAAAAGAAATAATGCTTTTCTTTCAACATTCCTATACCTAGTATTGTTTCATAAACAACTTTTTAATTTCATCTCAGCTATTTGTTTAAAAAATAAATGATCTGCAAAAATAGTGTTGTATGAACAAAGTTATAAAGTTCTCCAAGCTCAGCTAACTTGTCTTAGTGATAGTTAAACCAACTGTTAAAGTTAAGTTAAACTAACTTTGTATGGATAATGTTCATAATGCCTCAACACTTCAAAAAGTAATGTTTTTAATATAAAATATTACTGAAATGTGTTTAATTGCATAGTACTTGTATGATACATATTTACTAGTGGAATGAGACACGCCTAATTTTTATTTCAATTGGACTTCCGGCATATAGGGCGAATGGAGTCATTTGATTGGCTGATCCAAAAGTCACAGATGGCAGATGCAGAAATTCAATATTTTTAACTACAATTATAAAATGAAACTGTTATAACCTAACCTAACTAACCAAGCTTGATGTTAATGAAAAAATCAAATGAAGGTTTACTAATGGAATCAATATTTTTAATCAATATTAGGGTAGCCCAGTTAAGAAACGGATCAGCCAATTGAAAGACTCCATTCGCCCTTATGCCTCAACTCCAATTTAAATCAAAATTGTGCATGAGTCACTGTTTAGTATTATAAAAAAATAATGGCTTTAATTTACCCAGTCCTTAATATTACACTCTACTGATCAACTACATTGTTTACAACTGGAGATCTAACTAGAGGGATCTAAAGGTAACTAAAATAAGTAAAAATATAATAAAGTAATATTATTTATTGATTGATATATTCTAGAGTACAATCAATAAGCTACATACATAGTCTAGTTATTAAAAAAAAAACCTTATGTCTAATGTTTGTTATATTAGCAACAAATATTGTAGGAATGAGAAACAAAAATTACCCTTAACTTAATACCTGCTTTTACTGGTTTTATTGCCCAGCAATTTAGGCCTACTTTATTTACCAACCATACAAAAAAGTAATTAATGACCTTATAAATAATTTTCCATGGATAATAATTTGAGAATATAACATTCAAATACTGCATTGAGGTTTTCTATTTCAAACATTAATTTTATAATAGTGTGTGTGTTAAGACTGATGGTTATATAGTTCATCTAATATCAGAGTTCAATGAAAAATTATTAGTTAATTTTTAAACTAAAACTAATTGACTCATGAGGGTGGTTTTGTAGGCTGGTGTTTTTATACCAAGAAAGTGCATTACTTTTATATAGAAAGTTTGATAAAATTACAAAAATAGCTTATAACATATTCAGTTTCTGTGACAAAATCCACTCTATAATTCATATCATTTAATTACTTTAATAAACCTACCTATCAAATCGACCTGAAATAGACTATCTTAAAATACATGAAGGTCCTCAGGACAATAAAGTTAAAGCACTTAGTATTTCTTAAGCACTATACAAATAAACAACTTAAATTATACTGTAAAAATACAGTTTGGCTGGATTTAATAAGTGATGTAAGTTCTCCCTAGTTCAACTGACATAGGTGAATAATAATAATAATAATAATAAAATAAAAATCAAAGAATGTTACCTGAATGTGTTACCTGTACCTCTAACCATCAAGTTAAAAACTCAATATTTCTCAAGTGACCCTACGAAAACACCGAAAAACTCTCTGTCCACACTTAAGTTCCTTTATCTCCTGACGAAGTACCTTGTCCTAAGGCTAGCGCCCTTAGATTTTCTCTGGACGATGATCATTCGCTAAGTCCATCACCTTAGAATATTCTTTGAATTAAATTCTTTCCTCTAAATTTGCCATTATGGGTTCTCTTCACTCTCTGAAGCTGTCCCATATGAATTTTCTTCAGATGAATTACCTTCCATTGAATACTCTTCAAATAAAGCCCTTCGGAAGTCAGTTCCCGGTATAAACGGTTCTTGTCTCATATTTTCTTGGATTGACGTTCCATACGATAAACAAATTTGCACAAAGTTTCCTTGAAGCAAAGTTCCTGGTAGTAAAGTTCCTTGAAATGAAGTGTCCGGTCTTAAAGTTACTTCCCTTAAACTGTTTCCCAATACAGTCCCTCGTACCCTAATTCTGTCCAATAATGTTCCTTGAAACAAGTTTCCGTGCAGTAGAGTTCCGTGCAATGAAAGCCCTTCAACTAACGTCCCATGTAATACCGTTCCATGCAAAAAAGCTCCCATTCTGTTTTCTTGAAAAAATGTCCCTTGAAACACAGCTCCTGGTGTGAAAATGCCTTGTAAAAAAGTCCCTTGGATGATATTTCCTTGTATTAAGTTTACTTGGAATAAAGTTGCTTCCAAAAACATCCCTTGTAATATAGTCTCTTGCAATAAAGTACCTTGAAATGAAGTTCCTTGCATTACGGTTCCATGCAACACAATTTCTTGCACAGTTCCATTTACTGGTATTTCTGGTCTGGGATTTCCTTCCTCCACATTTACCTCTTCCATAAGTGTTTGCTCTGATGAAGCACCATCCACTGAAGTTCCACGCCCTGAAGATGAAGATTGAGTGGTCACTGCTGGTGTTTCTTGTATTGAATTGCCCCTTTCCGAATGCACCTCTACCAAAGTTGTTTGCTCTGTTGTTGCTCTATCCACTGAAGTTCCACGCGCTGAAGATGAAGGTAGAGTGGTCACTGCTGGTGTTTCTTGTATTGAATTGCCCCTTTCCGAATGCACCT